ATGATGTCCACTCCGTTCTGCGCATCAGTTCTGCTCATAACAAAGGGGGACCCCCAGATATAAACATTGCCCAAATTTTGCATCTTTCGAACTTTTTTGAATTGAAACGTACAGTTTATATTCATTTACAAGTATAACGAACCAGAGAAGTATTAGATATTCAGTTAGTATATCATATTTTACAAATATAGCAGTTCAAAACGTAAACAAAGTTCGCGCATTAACATGCACAGGAGTGAACATCATCTTTAACATGCATGTTATGATTCAACTGCAATAATTCAACTACTACTGTTGAGCCTCTAAGGGCTTGATTCCCAGCATTTTCAGACATAACGTTTTGATATACAGGGTGTCCCCAAAAAAATGCCCCCTATCATATTTTGTGGTACTACATCGTTACCTGTAATTGAATATTCAAATTTTTTCATTTTTTTTATCAATGAACATATTACGTTAATCGTTGCATTTTTTCGCACCAAAATATTTAACCGTTCGCCTTCTAGAGTTACTTAAGGTGGCGACACCAATATTGCCACTTGTCCAAATTGAGGATATTAGGTTTAAACATATTACGGAACGTCATAAAATATTTTAATGGTAAATGGCTACATATCTTTTCTAAAACTTGTAATTAGTTGTAGCCAAAATCGCAAATTAATTTTCTGTAAAAATAATGAAGCAATCCCCAGAAAAGGGGAAAGACTAGTGCCGAAATCACAACATTTGCTCTTTCATGGAACAAATTGAACGGAAAACAGCAAATTTAAGGCATTTTCCCAACCTTAGCTTTGCCTTTGTCTATTTGCCAGGGATTTTTCATATTTTTTTTATTAATTTCTACAAGAAACAAAAGTTTAATAATAGAGATAAAAACATTTTGTTTTTGAGCAAAAAGGTGGGTAGAAACTTTAGAAATCCTTCTGCAAAGTTTGTATTATTTTTAACCTAATTTCTGTAATTTGGACGGGTTGCAAAATTGGTGTCCCCACCTTAAGTATCTCTAGAAGCCGAACGGTTAAGTATTTTGGTGAGATAAATACTACGATTAATATAGTATGATTGTTTTTCAACCCACTGCAAAAAATGTGAACCTTTGATTAAATATAGCGAAGTAATACCACCAAATATGACAGGGGGCATTTTTTTGGGACACCCTGTATATGTATATATTGTATGGATATAGAGGTTTGGTCATTCGAATATTAAAACATTGTTCTTCATTTTGTTTGCCATGCGAAAAAGAACTTACTGGGGGAGGGAAGTAACATTGTACTTACCAAGAGTAAATATTTCCCAAAGCAATACACCAAATGACCATCTGAAAATTGTAAAACAATATTTCAAAATTAAATTTTAAGAGTTGGTTAATATCTGCGAAATTATTGCACTTATTGCTATGAATTGGGGATATCACGATAACTTGAGACAGTTATTTTAATCCGAAAGTGACGTAAAAAAGATTTTAACTCCAGTTTTGGAGCGAATTTTACTCCATTCTTGGTGTTATTTAGTAAAATTTACTGCGAAGAGAAATTAAATTTTACAATGATGCATGCATGCATGTACGCTTATTTTTTGCAATAATAGGCTGTAGCATATGTTACTTACACGTCAGATTTTTCAGAAAATATACGATCTCGTAACGCTTCGATAGACATCCATTTCACTGGCACCAATCCCTAAAAACGACGAGTGACATAATGTTATTAAAACTGAGTTTAATTGTAAAGGCAAACTAGGAAATAGTATTTCGAAAGCATTTTCTCTATATTTTGGCTCGGCTCTAACGCATCGTTGCGGATACAACATTTTCTTTTTGATTATGTAAAAACCTTCCATCCTTCCCCAGCATTTACCATTTATATCAGTCTTTGACCTGTATGTTTGGAAATTCCACATCTAGTCACTAAATACGACAAGTGACATAATGTCATTAAAAATTTAATTATTTAGTAGCTAAGGAAAACTAGGAAATAGTATTTCGAAAGCATTTTCTCTATATTTTGGCTTGGCTCAAGCGCATCGTTGCGGATAAATCATTTTCTTTTTTTGATTATGTAAAAACCTTCCATTCTCCCACAGCATTTATTATTTATCAGTCTTGGACCTGTATGATTGGAAATTCCAGATAGTATATATAAGTATAGTGTAATTGCGCCATTTCTATCAATTAATCAATCAATCAGTCAATCAATTTTTAATCAGGAAGACTACGCCATAATGCTTCTGACAAATGACTCCTGGTTCGCCCTCAGTTAGAATGATGACCTTGAGACAAGGTTTGCGTAACTATATTTCCTACTTACCCCCTTGTTTAAATAATAGTGCATGTGTTCAAAGATATATACATATTTCTTTTTTTCAATATATCTAAACTGAAATTATACGTCTTGAGAGAACCATTGCCTGCAATGCCTGCTCATTGACAATTACTAAATCGCGATGACAAGTTTCATTCCGCAATCATTAAAGAAGACGAATATTTTGAGAAATAAACAGGCTACTTGATAGAACATATGTAAAGTACAATAATCTAGGTATAACGTACCGACTTTTTCTTAAGGTAGATATCATTCTTGTAAAAGTTACGAGCGAGACCAATTTCAGCAATTTTTGGAACAAAATTCTGACCAATCAAAATATTCCTTGCTGCTAAATCACGATGAATGCACTGAGAATATAACAATAAACAATTCAGTCATATTTAACAGGAACACCGGGGTACCAAAGGCCAGTCTACACTTGAAATTTTCGCTGTGATTTTAGTCGCGATTTTCTTCTTCTGATGGATGTGAACGAGTGGATGATTTATGAATGCTGAGATGAAGGTACACATACTTAGATCAATCATAACTCATCCACTCGTTCACATGCATCAGAAGAAACTCGCACTAGAAATCGCAGTGAAGTGATTTCTGGTACAGACCTGGATGAAAGTGGGAATCCTGAGGAACATGTGCCTTAGAAAGAAGATTGAGGAACGTTTTCAATTTTTCATACATACATCATGGGAGAATCTTAAAAAATCATTATATCATACTTCCTTATCTGTCACTTGAGATTGCGAAGTGTTGTCGCGTTCAACGTTTAAATTTGGCGAAATACCGTCAAATTTTCAACTGTTTTTACGCACGTTTGAGGAACATTTGAAAAAAGCAAATTAGGATCAGAGGAATATTAAACACTTTTTACAGGTCTGTCCTGGTATTTCGGGCTATGGGCTACTCTTGGCCTTTTTATAGAGAGGCACACCCCTCCCCAACATTGTTAATGAAGAGAAATATATTTAAAGCGGCAGCCAAGTTCGTTTTGCGCATGTGTAGACATGGGCGTAGTTTCTTTTCATTCTTTACATATTTTGGTTGAAACATATTGAAATAAGGCAAGTAATGCGAAGTGAAACGCGTACGGCCGGTCCGGATCCACTGTAGCAGACTTCTTTTTGTCTGACTACTTTGAAATAAAATATATAAACAAAAGTACAAAAAAAAGCGCGTCGGCGCGTGACCCATCGAATGTAAACTACCTTCCTAGAAGCCAAGAACTCCATTCCGCCTGCGATTTGCGAAGCAGCCTCCACGAGATCAGTGATACTCAGTTTACTATCATGATCTGAAGTTAACTGTAGCCAATCAGGCTCATAGATGTCTTGTCTGTTTCTTAGGAATTCGGACATATTACCATAAGGACAATATTCCATGATTATCCACGTTTTACTGCGATGTCCTAAATATGCAATATATATTTTATTTGCAGTTTATTAATACATTTTATTATTATTTATTTAGAACCATGGTTATATTCATTGCTGTTTCAGATTCTTTCAGTATTTTTTTCAGCGGCTTATATAATTAGTCATTCTTGTGTTTCCGAATCCATTTGCGGAGTAACCTCTGGAATGTGATTCCTTACTTAAGTTCTTAACCAGAAAGACACAAACACGAAGCCAATGTCTTTTAATTTGTTCTGCAAACAAACTTAATCGTGGCCACTAGAGAAAACCTCCGGAAGATAAAGGAATATGGTCTGACAACAACATCCCTCGGTTTTCACTGGACATTCCACAGTTTTGAATAAACTCTGCATTGTCTGCATTGCACTTTAACACACATATACTGACGATCTTCAAAATAAGCTTACAATATGTACATTATTACCCTTTAAGACTGAACACGAGGCCGAACAAAGTTAGCGCTGCATACACTTCTCGGCAAATTTGCCTGCATCCGCTAAGTGTGTTTGAATTCGTCCAGTTTCATGCATTCAGGGCCTTTTTGAACACTATATAGATTAGGGAGGCGGGGTGGGGGGGGGTGGGGGGAGAAAGTTCCCAATATCTGCTGCATAAAAACTAAAAATACGAAGTTTAATTAAAAATGTCAAACTGTTGTACACATTAATTATTTGAAAAGTATATCGAGTCACCGTAGAAATCGTAGAAATCTTAGGAATTGCATTCCCAGGTCCCGTACCAGTGGAGAAAAAGTCGCCAAAGAGGCGAAGTTTCACCAACAAAAATAATAGACAGCACGTTTCTGATTCAACAAACGCCGACCGGAACTCCGGAAGTCAATCGAGACGTTAAAACGTTATTCATGGCGAAAGTCATGCATTCTTGTTTGAAATAACGAACGCGTTAAACCAGGCGTAACACTATATATCAGGTTGCCGTTTTTGCTTTCAAGCAAGAATTAACCGCCGGCTATATAGCTAAATTATGTAAGCCTGGTGTCCGCGCGTTGTCAAAAAACGTCGCTTGCTTATTAAGCTCTCTATTCTCTAATATATCACCATCAAGTCTGTTACATTGGGTGCATATAATTCAAGTATAGCTACCTTTCGTACAAGCAGCAAGAATATTAACGACGTTTTTATGTTCTCCAACATGGATGAGGATTTTAAGTTCGCTGAGTAAGTCATCCAGATCACCTTCGTTCCAGTTTTCTTTAAAATTAATAAAAACGAAAATTGTGGTTCTATATATCGGCATAGACAATGTTGATTTTTAAAATTACTTCACCAATGAACTCATAAGACATAAAATGGGTCGTTTTTTAAGCCATTTAAAACATTCGCAGTCATAAAATCCGATATAAAACACTCGGACAGAGGACATAAAGCACTCCTGCTTGTGCTTTAATTAGTACAAAAACATTAATAACCAGGGTTACAAAGCTTACCGTTGAGCATTTTAACTGCCGCCTCTGTAACGTTCGAGCAGTTTACATAGGAGTAATGTTCCCTGTTTAGCATGACCGAGAGACGCCACTGTTTTGACTTTTCCTCTAAAGTTCTTCTTGGGTTAAATGCTTCAATACCGATCACCTTAGCGAAGCATACTTGACCAAATGCACCATGGCCTAATGTCCGTTCTAAGGAAAACAACCAGAACGAAACAACAGTTCTATAAAATGCATATACTTAATCAGTATGAAAACCTATAGCTCGTGTAGTCGCGTGTCATTTTAAATTAAATGAACTGCACGAATAAAATAGCTCTTTATAGCCTTTATATATTATGTTGTAGAATTGAAATTCAAGCACTTGGGGTTCGTTTTGATTCTGAATTTCTTCATGGGGTTTCAAAGGTTGTGTAATAAAGTTCAAAAATGAAAATGAATGCGGAAACAAAAGAGTGGAAACTTACCAATAAAAACACGTTCTCTGGGAAACTCCCATTCAGACAAATATGGTAATTTGTTAGTTTGTTCTACTAGCAGTCGCTTCCCGTCGATCCTTTCAATATAATCAAGTAATGGCGGATTGGTGAAAATGTAAAACTTTCCATAGAGTTTCTTTCTTTTGTAAAGAACAAAGACAAATACAAGCGACATAACAAGCATCGCAATAGTAATGCTTACAATGATTGCCACGTATGTTACTGAATGCTTGGATGTCACACCTAAAATATATTAAAGGCGTTCTAGTAATATTTTAAACCCGTCAGTAATATCTGCGCCGGGCGGCTAGCTCGCCTCAAAGACGAAGGCAATTATTTGTTTAAGGAGCTGCTGTATAATATAATAATAATATAATATAATGAATTTGTCACTTTATACACGATACAAACTAATTAAAGACAAATAAAGACAGATACAAATCGTGACAGGGGAAAGGAACAGGACTCTCGTCCCAATTGACACCTAACCCCTAAAAAGACGTTAAATATAAATAAAGATAAAGAACAGGTTATAACACATTAGTTATAACAACTTATACTAGCTAAGGTTTGAATCGTGACTATAAAAGCACTGAACGTTTACACACTGCGACTTACCCACTATGCAGATTACTATTATGAATTATTCAAAATCAATTTGGAAATCACGAGTCAATTTATAACATATTTGTAAATATGATGATAATGGCCGGATGATGGTTCAACAAGTCGCAATGTGTAAACGCTGATCACGCAGTGCCCGGAGGTACGTAATGCGATAACTTAGTAGAATACAACTTATGAAGATGAGACTTGAAAATACTTAAAGAATTGGAGGATTTGACAAGAGACGGTAGAGTGTTCCATAGTTCAACCGTTCTAATGAAAAAAGAATTTCTAAAATAGTCCTGCTTGTGTTTAATTATAAGCTTATAGTTGTTTTTATCATAATTTCTTGATTGGTATCCAGGTTCAAAAGTACATATATATATATTTGTTCACATCAGTAGTAATTGCTCCAGTTCTAGATTTAAAAAGTAGGCATATGTCTGAGATATCTCTTCTGAACTCAAGAGGGAGAATCTTGATCTTCGCGAGTCTGTCGGCATACGTTAGGTCCTGTGGATAGTCAAGAATAAACTTTGTATACTCTGTAAGATGGTAATTTTAGGCATTCTGGGGACAGGACCGTGGTAAGAAGTAGATGTGGACGAGAGAGACCAATATCAGTCTGGGGAAACTGGAAGAACTGTTATTTATTAATGAAACAAATAGATTTCGAGGTTTTCATACACTAATGACTTTTTTCGCAGTAAGCGACTTTTTTCCATTTCTCTGTAAGTGAAAATCTTCCCTAACCCACTGATAAGCAACGTCCATGTAAATTTGGAAAAATTTCCTGTTTCAGTGGAAATGTTGAAAACAGGATTATTCATAATACGTTTTTTAGACGTTTTCTGGTTTTAAATATTTATGTAGTACGAGCTTGCGACTGCCGCCAGTCTGCAGTCTTCAACGGGTAGATGCAGAAGAAAAAGACTCAGTCTTCTTCTTCTGCATCTACCCGTTGAAGACTACAGACTGGCAGTCGAAAGCTCGTACTAAATAACTGTATTTAAAACCAAAGAGCGTTTAAAAAACTTATTACTTCAACTATATTGTTCACCTTCCTTTCTTCATGGTGATCAAAACAAGGGGATTGATTGGTGCATGTTTAGACTGATTTTTGGAAATTAATTTCTTGTCTAAATAGTTTTCGAATTTATTGCCTGGAACTCATGATCATGTGGGAATTTTTTACTTCACTATAATTTTGCATGCATAATACATTTTGAATGTTTATTTATTGCAAATCAGATTTACACTAACCTATAACGCCTATTTTCACTATGGTCCACACACGTTCATCGTTGCCAACTATATTTTTTGCCTTACAACGGTAATTCACTTCTTCAGAGGTTTGTGATTGGATAGTCAAAGTGCTTTGATGACGAACTGTTCTGACTCTTGTAGCATTTTGTAATTTCGACCACTGTGTACATTTGGAGCACGATACATCGCAAATACATCTTTCCCATGCCAGGCTTGCACGAGGAATTCCTTCTTCTATCATATAACAATGTAATTGTAATCCTTCACGAAATGTGTATTTGATAATTTTTCTTTCTTTGTTTTCTGGTGCTTTAATATTTGGGACGGCTAACAACGAAATAGGAATATATTTGAATATTGCATGTATGCTGCAGCAGTAAAGCAACTGAACAGTAAATTAGTAAAATCTATATAATCCATTGCCATTGGTGCATGGGATTTACTATTATTATAATGTCAGTCACACAGCAGATGGTTATCAACCGGCAGCTATCAGAGTTAGAAAATGATGGCAATTCTTTCCTTTTAATATGTACTAGCCTTGTATTTGGCAGAAATAAATAAGAGTATAAACACTACTGAAGTTAAAGTAAGAAACAATATATCCTAATAGAAGTGTCATCTTGAAACTCAATATTGAATTTAGAAAAACAAGGGAGACAGGATTCAACAGTAATAGTTCGAATTTATTACAAATTCATCAATAAACTGGAAATATTACAGTTGAATCTTGCAGAGCCGTAGTCACGATGATAATATTGAAAATGCAATAATCACATTGGAAATTTTGAAATTCTGAGAGCTCTGAAACGCTGTTTCCTGCATTCAAAATCGCGTACATTCTTCTCCTCGATAACCTGCATGCTTGTTAATTTGCATGTGATGAGACCTATAGATACATTTCGTCACCATTGTTCTCGTGATTTTTCTTATTTTTATTTTCGTGATTTTTCTTATTTTTAAGCGAGGAGTAACTACTGCAAAAATGTCGGAATTCAAGAGAGACTGGAAAAGAGTCGAGTATTACTGTACTTGATGTAAATTAGTGTTGACTGTAGCGTTGCCAGATAGTCCTGATAAGGAAAGACGTGGGTTTCATCAGTGCAAGATGGTAGGAGATGCCTGACGGAACTGCTTCAAAATGGTGTTTTTGTATAAGTAATAAAACAGCACTGCACTCTATTATTGAGATCAGTTTTCCCCGTTGTTCAATAGCCTAGTTATTTAGTGTTATGAATTGAAAAGCATCTTCTCCGTTTCGCACAGCCCTGGTCAAATCTTCATGTCTCCTCTTGTTTTCCATAAATATTGAGTTTCAAGATGGAATTCTACCCAGAGTTAGTTTCTTACTTTCTTTATTGATTGATCAAGTTGACCAACATCGTCTGTCTGTCAACACTTAATACTGAAACCCACCATTTGTACACTATGCAGGCATTGCTGAGGAACGATATTAATCGAATATCAGCATGATCTTGTTCCGGCACACTTTGAGCAAGTAAGCACGTCAACCCTTACAATAGAGACCTTACGATTTTAGGACGGCAACGCGACGGCAACGGCTACCAATACAATAGATCATTGAAAACAATTGAGTAATTACAATATATGAATAATTAGGCTGGATCGATATCGCAAATACCGAATACCGATATACCGCCATCAGAATACCGGTAAATACCGGTATTCCGGTATTTTTAACGTGTTTTTTTTTTAAGCCAAACTGAAGTGCTGACCGTCAAGAAAAATCAAGTTTTGACAAAATATTAATGTGGCACACACTGTTATTAGTGCAAATGTCACAAGATTCGCATTATCAAGCTATGTTAACAATTAACAGCGCTAAGCGGCAATTATTAGTAGGGCGTCGAAGTGTTGAATCATTCAGAAAAATATTCGTTTTGTAGCTATATAAATTCAGATAGTGTTGCAGTAAGCTGCTATTAGTTATAAACATAAAAAACGTTGCATTTTTAAAACTAACACATAAACAAGTTAGCATGTCAGTTAAATAAGATGAAAAACAACAAACTGCCCGATAAAAAAACAACTTGAAAAGCCAGAAAAGGTTTTCATGCATGTCATGCATCTGTGAGTATTAACTTTGCTTTCTAAACGTGATTGTAAGCAAGTTTGACTTGAAATAGCGTTTCATTTCGGTATTAGGCAGCAAAATACCGAAATGTCGGTATATCGGTATTTTTAAATTGTCAATATCGCCAAACCGGTATCAAAACAAATACCGGTATATCGGATATATCCGGTATATCGATCCAGCCTATGAATAATTTAGACATTGTCCTCGCTCTGTTTACAACGCCAACTTACAGATTTTCACGTCTTGATACAACGGCTGCATTCCAAGCTGCAACAAGTGCAACTTCGAACTGGGTTCAGCAGAGCTCTTCCCAACCATAAAACCAATGTCTTCAACTTCTAAAACTGTGTTAAATTCATACAATTGATAATATACCACGAAGTATCTTTACTACCATTTATTTGAAGGAGTTTATTTTGGCCGTCGCGTTGCCGTTCTAAAATCGTAAGGTCTCTAATAGCTTTGTCCTACCTTACCTTCCATACTTATATTAACAGTGTTGAAATTAGTCCAATTGTACTTGCTGTACTTCAGACGACATACATATTTTCCTTCATCAGTTTTACTGAAATTTTTAATTTGAATAATTTTCCTGGTGATATTGAATCTTCCAGTTGAAGAAGTAGCATGACTAGCATCTATCATCGTAGGGATTTTGTGTCCATCTCGTAACCACTCCATGATAACATATCCATTACACTGACATGTTATTGTGACGTTAACACCAAAAATTTCATACATTGGTACTTTGTTAATCATTGCTTTCATGTGAGGTATACCTCCTATAAAAGTTTAAAAATATGAAATAGTGAAGCAGATCATCATTGAACATTTCACATGTGAAAATGAATTGAAATGGACATTTCGTATGTGAACTTCACAATTTTCACATAATCTTTTTGAAAATTAGAGTTTCATGTATTCTTCGAGACTCTGACATATTGAAATCAGTTAACTTCACTTATAAAACTCATTAATAATTCATGAGGAAAATACAAAAGAAATGAATGTTTAATCAATGTTTGTACATCGCATAAAGATTTGTCCTGATTTACATAAACTTCAGCTTTGATTTTCTTGGCTTAGACAATGTTTATTTTTAAAATTACTTCGCCAATGAACTCATAAGATGGGTCGTTTTATAAGCATGCACGATATTCGCATCCGATCTTTATCTGATATACAAACTCTCGCCTTCGGCTCGAGTTTGTATATCAGATAAAGATCGGCTGCTCATGTTTTATCTAGTACATGTGAAATTGTTATTTCATATGTTCAATTGGAGCAGTTCACATGTGAAAATGCACACTTCATAATGTGAAATTCAGAATTTTCAATTATAGTTCATATGTTGAATTGCAACATTTCACGTATTTTGTGCAGTTTTTGCAAGGGCGAGTGAGGTCGAAATATTTTTTTCATCAAACATTTTGTTCGTTAACGTGACTAAAATTTCAACAAGAAAACGTTACCTTTATTCTGTAATAAATTTTTTGTGCACAAATTTGAAAAATTAAAATATTCATCATATGGTATATATCTATATACACTCAACCAACCTGGCTGTTATAATCATGCTAACCTAAGTGCTAACCTTTCAGGATCTATGAAATGTGATGGAATTCTGCATGCACCATGAAATGCTAAATGATCATGTATTGAAAAAAATAACGTACTTTTATCGAAAACATTCCAGGTGGAACTGTCTTCACCCAGCTTGTTCCTTGCAATACAGCGATACCTCACATTTTGAAATTCTTGTTCTCTAATAATCAGCGTACTGGTTAGTTTTGACGACTCTTTCTTTAATCCAAACCAACCAAGAGAATTCGTACTGCAGTTGAATAGGTCATCAACACATTCATACCAGTTCATCTCGGGTCTTGGATTCGATGGATTAACTTCACATTTTAGTTGCAGGGTATCATGAAATTTTGTTAATTTATTTTTGGGTTCCGTCCGATTAATCACAGGTTTAACTTTAGAGAAAAATATATAAAATTGTTACTGAATTAAAAAGTCATATCTATAACTACCTAGTAAACTCGCGTATACGAGAACATGCATGGGGTCCAATGTATAGGTAATATTCTACAATACATTTCCCTGGTTTTGGTCGTAACGACTTGAAAACGATTAACGTACACAACTTCAACATTTCGAGCGAAGAGTGTCGTCTGAAATTTAGAAATATACTGTAAGTTTATTTACTGACTATTACTAACCTCCTTACGAAAGGCTTCGAAACATCGAAGAGGTATAGCCAGGGGCAAAACTTCGGTATTACAACTGGAGGGGTTCTTTCTTTCGCCTGTCAATGGGAGGAGAGTCTCCCGATCAAAAGGTTGGTGATTCCCATTTAACAAAACCTTTTAAAAGCATCATTCACTGACTACAATGTATAATCTTTTAATCTGCGACATATTTTTCTGCTGCAAGAATGATTAAATCGTCCGGTTATTTCCAACATTTGTCCAACAAAGTCGTATTGATTTGAACATGGAGGGGTGTCACCCCGTATGTCACAATTGTATGGAGGGGCGTCACCCCCGTATGTCACAATCGTATGAAGGGGTGTCACCCCGTATGTCACAATCGTATGGAGGGATGTCACCCTTTTCATACTCCTCCGGTAGTTTCGCCCCTAGGTATATCTCTGGCCAAATTTCGCCCCTAGGTATATCTCTGGCTTCTTTATCTTTACGTATATATAGTAAGATCATGATAAAGCATTAGAAAACCTCGGCTGTAATCCTAAAATACGGTACTGAATTTTGACACCTGCTTGTGGCTGTTAGGCCGTTTGCTGTGACCCCGAAAAGTGCCTAGAAAACGATTTTCATTTCCTATGTCTTGGAACTGAAATATTTTTACGGGAACTAACACTTTCGAACACGCTGAGTTCAAATCCGAAAAGTTCCCGCTCGATAGACCTGCAGTTTTCTCACAAACTGCAATTTTATCTTCACTAATTTCACGACAATTTTTTTCATTGTTAAACGACACGGATCGATGACGACAAACGATTATGTCACTCAAATGGACCAATTTCTATTAACCAGTCTTCCTTTTAACAAAAGACCGGTTTTGTTCGAATAATTTTGAGTTATGTAATATTATGCGTGTTGTACGTACATGCAACATATTTTGTCTACAACTTTGGGAAGGTACAGATAAAGCTTTCTAAAATCCTCAGTTCTGGCTCTATCTCTATAAAATTACAAGGAAATAATTCCTTACATGCGATAAAAATGTTTTATACAGCGATGTAGAACGGTAATGTTATGTAATGGGTCAGCATTTAAATTTCCAACACAGTTTTTGAGGCGTAATTCAAGAGGTAACTTATCATTGCATTTGAACTATTATATCAGTTGGTGTTATATATTCTGTGCGATTAGCGAGTATTATTGGAAAGAGGGCTTTCATATGTTGAAATTACCAAATAAACAGCTCATGCACACATTTCTCCACTTCGTCGTAAGTTTACAGAGCAGATTTTATATACTTTGGCACTGATCTTTGTCTTTGGTGTGAACATTTATTATTCTAGTTTAAGATCATTTAAGAGTGATCCTGTTGAAAGTCTTTTACCAGCAATCCATCGACAATATTTCATTTTAGTGTTGTCTTTGCCGTTCCGTTGACTTCGCATTACTTTTGTTATAAATACCTTGATCGCGTTAAAAGAGTTATTTCTCAGCACAGAGACATAGCCAAAAGACTTAACATTAACGTCCTTGTGATTTTATAGAGATAGAGCCAGAACTGAGGATTCTAGAAAGCTTTATCTGTACCTTCTCAAAGTTGCAGAAAAGATATGTTGTTTACGTTCAACACGCATAATATTACATAACTCAAAATGATTCGAGCAAAACCGGTCTTTTGTTAAAAGGAAGACTGCTTAATAGAAATTGGTCCTTTTGAGTGACATAATCGTCTGTCGTCATCGATCCGTGTCGTTGAACAATGAAAAAAGTTGGCGTGAAATTAGTGAAGCTATAAAATTGCAGTTTGTGAGAAAACTGCAGGTCTACGGAGCGGGAACTCAGCGTGTTCGAAAGTGTTAGTTCTCGTAAAAATATTTCAGTCCAAGACAAGACATGGGAAATGAAAGTGAACGATATCGGGACGCAGCAAACGGCCTATGTGGGCAAAAACTGCTATGATTAATCGAAATGTTTGGATTTTAAATCATCTGCTTCAAAAACACGTCATATAAAGAAGACATTTTCAAGACAAATCGAAGGATATCTAGATCTTAGCCATAAAGTAAAGAATTTGTTAAGGAATTATCGTCTATCGACATTAAAACATCGTTCAAATTCAAGCGGCTATATAAATCGCTTGCATTGCATTGTGAATAAACAAACATAGGTGATGTGTAAAGATTTTTAAACGATGTATCGAACAGTGTTATTTTAATTTACCCGGGGTCTTTCAGTAACAGTGTCCAGAGATAAAGAGTTTTAATTGATAAACATCCGAACTGTGTTCGGTTTCCTGGTAGTTAGTTCGATCCTACTGCATGTGTGTAGTAGTATACCTACACCTTTAGTTAATCGAACGTTTGATTCGCTAAGATTCATGGAGGATTCTTATAAATTTATGATACTGCAAATGAAAGTCGACAATATACAGTAGCTACACTATAGTATAGACGTGTACCTTCCGCTGCTTTGAGGTAAATTTTGTCTTCAGTTGTCCAATGTGACCATTTTGCTTTACATAAATAAAGACCATCATCGAATTCAGTGAAACTTTTAATTGTCAGTATTGCGAACCGTCTGCCAGATTTAGGAGAACTGCTACTACTGAGACGGTTAGAAGCTTTATACCAGCCTAGATCATGTGATCCAGTTATCTCACAATCTAGTCGTATATTGGCGCTATAGGTGATGCTTCCATATATTTTGTTTGTGATATTTGGGATTGGAAGAGCACTGACGTCTGAAATATACAAACGGATAATTAATTTGTAAGTATCTACAGTGAAACGTTTGTGGGTTTCAGGAGGCCCGTTAATGGCTGGAGATAATGGCGACTTGGAGAACTTGATATTACTTATACGAGGAAGCATTTAATTAAACTAAATCTCTCCCTTATCTATTTGCCGTGCGACTGCTATTGTACAGTTAAACGATTATAACTTATAATGACAAGAATTAACATTCTTGTTAAATAGCTAAAGGGTGAACACCAAACGTGATTGGCTGATTTGTGGTCACGTGCATGCATGCATGGCTTTAGATTAATGAAATGGACCTCTCCGACCAGCTATACACATGACTATATATATATATATATATATATATATATATATATATATATATATATATATATATATATATATATATATATATAACAATTGTACCATGAGCTCGAGTCGTATATGAGCCAATGATATGAGATGAGCTGATATAGCTGCATATACGACGAGAGCGAATGGTATAATTGTTTTATAATATAGTCTAATATCCATTAACTGAAGCAATAATTAATTATCCTCTGTTACAATGTCTTGACATTGCTTGACAATCCGCTTAGCCTTGAAAATTTGAAATACTTTTGTTTTTAATACAACTCGGAGACGAGGTGAAAGAAATGGTTTTAGAACCGGTATATCTCACAGAAAAGCTCAGATATATTATACAGATGTTTGGTACTATAGCAAGTGCTTGTTGACTGCAAATTCATTTGTCTTTCGTTGCAAACTTTTCTGAACAATTTATATTCTCAATGAACATGTTTTTTCGCTGTTGTTTCGGTATTAATTCTTTAAAAAAACTTGTATTGAAACTAATTTCTATGTAATAAATGTATTTTGCTAACCTGTCAAATTTTTTTGAGAGTTTTTCCTTGTACTATTATCTTTTTCAAAGCGAATATTTTTCTTTTTTCTGCTTCGCAAAACTCATGTAGTTTTTAGACCGCCATCTTGTTTTTCGCTACTCGCCGTATATGAGCTGATATACGGCGAGTAATTCAACCAATCAGATTGCAGAACAGCTCATATATATATATATATATATATATATATATCCCGTCTCTTGCTTAAATAGTCTAACATTTGGCTATACATAAATTAATTAAACCTCTTCCCTTAAATTAAGCCCACGTGGCACATAAGCTCTCCCTCTCAGTGGGGTTATTAACGTCCGTGACGTCAATAACCTGCACTAAAAAATCACTTAGACCTGAATGTCCCTCCCCCCAAAAATGATATCTATTTAATGCACTCTTGTGGTTATTAAATCGCAATCTGAACGGTGTTATGGTATTCCCTACATATTGCAACCCACAGAATTTACAACTAATCAAATACACTATACCCTCCGAGTCACAATCGAAGCGATGGTTAATGCAGAAAGACCACCCCTCAACATGGCTTTTAAAAGTAGCACCAATAATGACATTGTCACAGATTTTACATTTCTTCTTTCCGCACTTAAACATCCCTACGACCGTTTCCTCTTCCCTTCTCAATTTAGAACGAACTAAGTACTAGATCTCGTGATTACAAGCGTTCCAGAACATGTAACTGTGTCTGAGATACTTAGTCCAGAGAAAAGCGAGCTGATGACAGATCACTGTGCAATTCTGCACGAATTTTCTGCATACGTAAAAGCTCAACCAAGAACCGAGAGATTTGTTTACAATTATGGCGCTGGTGACTTTAAAGGACTTCTCAACGCATTAAATGCACTGAACTTAACGACTCTTGTCGAAGGTGCCAATGACATCAACACCGCCTGGCAAGACTGGAAGGATGTGTTTACAACAACCGTCTCACACTATATTCCGATGAGAAAAATGAAAGGACGTAATCCTTCTCAATGGATCAACGGTGCCATCCTTACCGCAATTAGAAGAAAGGAGTCAGCTCGGCAAAAAATAAAGTCATCTCCCAACAACTACCCACTACAGCAAAAATTCAAGACCTTGCGTTGTGAAGTAAAACGTATGTTACGGGAAAGTCGGAAAAAGTTCTTCACCTCTCTGGCAACTGCATGATGTCAATCAAAGCCCGAAGCGTCTGAGGTCGGTACTAAAAAGAACATCAAAGTCAAGAAACATCCCTGATACAATTTCATCAGCAAGCAACAACGACACAGCTGGCGCAGCAACATCTCAACGAGTATCGGCCGATAACCCAGAAAGCATAGCAAACTTGTTTAATCAATAATTTGCGTCAGTATATTCTAGAGAAGAATCTAACGGGGATGCAACCAGCGGAACTGACGAACCAATCCTAACTGATTTGACAATTAGTGAAGTCGAGGTATCGCACATGTTGAAATCTCTTGATACAGCCAAAGCGACAGGGCCTGATGGTATTCCCGCTAAGTTATTAAAAGAAACAGCGGACGTTATTGCACCTTCTTTGTGCACACTCTTCAATAAGTCAATTTCCTCGGGATCATTACCAGACGAGTGGAAAACAGCCAACATAGTACCGATATACAAGAAGGGTGACAACGAACACGCCGATAACTACCGTCCTATTTCTCTACTGTGCATTATCTCGAAGGTTTTAGAACGCTATGTGCTAAATAACGTCAAATACCGTTTACTAGAAGCAGTCAACATCTGTCAACATGGGTTTATATCCGGACGATCTTGTGTGACTAACCTGATTGATGCCCTCAACTACGTTGGGTCATGCCTGGATCGTGGTGGACAAATTGATATGATTTACAAGGACATGTCCAAAGCTTTCGATAAGGTCAACCATAATGTACTGATCCAAAAGCTGCGTAACGACTATGGTTTTGGAGGCAACCTGCTCAGATGGTTCCGTTCATATCTGACAAATCGCAAACAGCGCGTAACAGTGTTCGGAGCTACGTCAAACCCTCTGTCTGTAACTTCTGGAGTGCCACAAGGTTCTATCCTTGGCCCAGCATTGTTTCTCTTGTACGTCAACGATCTGCCGAGTACTGTGAAATCAAGTCAAGTTGTAATGTTCGCGGATGACACGAAACTCTTCAAAGAAATACGAACGGAAAACGATGCAAAACAACTACAGAACGACATTAGTAACCTCGAATCTTGGTCAACTACTTCAGGTTTATCATTTAATGGAACTAAATGCAAAGCACAGACAGTTACTCGAAAGCTTAAACCGATCACTACCAACTACACAATGAAAGATTGTCAGTTAACATCTACCAAAAATGAGCGTGACCTTGGTGTCTGGATATCCACCGACTTAAGATGGAACAAACAAGTGAACCAACAGTGTGCTCGCGCAAACAAAGAGCTAAGTTACATTAGGAGAAACACACGGACAATCCACAACACAACAAGGCGAACCATCTACCTAGCTCTCGTACGTTCACATCTCGGTTACGCGACCCAAGTATGGACACCTCAGTCGGTTGAATTACTGACGAAAGTAGAAAGAACTCAACGACGTGCGACGAAATTCATCCTTAACCTGCCATTTACTTGTTCTGTTGACTATACATCCAGACTGCAGGCTCTCCAACTACTTCCAATATGCTACTGGCACGAGTATCTTGATATGGTGTACTTTTTCAAAGTAATCCAAGGCTTAACAAACTCGTCCTTTGTTTTACGTAAGAAAACGAGACTGAACACAAGAGCTTCCAACAACACCAATACAGCGAAGTACGAAGTACCGCAATGCAGAACAACGACTTTCCAAAAATCTTTTTGGATTAGAACAATCAGAACTTGGAACACTTTAACGGACACGTTAGACTTAAGTATGGAAAACCTGGGCACGTTTAAGTCAGTAATGCAAAGATATTATTTTGCCGCATTGGAGAAAGCGTACGAATGTGATGATCCAAGAACATTTAAAACTATCTGCCCGAAATGCAACAGTGCAAGAACGTTAACCGAACCAGTGAACTGTTGTTTTTAGGCGTTTTAATTGTATATATGTTTGTGTTTTAATCTTTTGGGCCCACAGTAATTGACCCAGCCATCAGTTTAGTGTGTTTGCATTTGTGTTTGTGTTTGCGTTGTGTGGGTGCGTATGTGTTTATGTCTATATCACACAATGATGGAAAAGCAATTAAATTAAATTAAATTAAGTGATCTTTAAGGTTTTTAGATCGTCGACGAAAACACACCATTGGTGGTTCCGGCATAATACTTAAAAACCTATCAGACTAACTTACAATTACTTGCAATTCTCTAAGGATATTATAAAGGACCCTCAATGCTGGATGATAATCTATCACAAAACAGTTCCTAAAACTGCGTTGTTCAAAGCTGGGTTAGAGGTGCGGTTAGTTAGTTAGTTAATCCCAGCCAATCAAATGGACTTCGAATTATTTTGGAGTTGAAAAGCATTTTCAACGCATGCGTGTTTATTCTATAAAACAGAACACGAAAACAGAAAAAGAAGCAGCGAAGTTGTTTTACAGCTTTCAAAAACAGTGTTTTTACTGGTAGGTAATACACTGCGCTGCAAACAGTAGATGTGCAAGAACTTGTGACTGTTCAACAAATGGCAAGTGGAAACTGTGTGAAACAGGTGGTGGTACGGCGAATTGTTTGGCAAAACAAGTATTTTTTCTAGAGTTATTTTTTGAAGAAACTTGAGTTGAATGCTCGGCTTTAATAAAACTACAATCGACAAAGATCTTGTGAGGTAAATCCTTTTACTGTACAGTGTACACAATCTTGATTACGGCATTTGTGTGCAGACGTAGCTGTTTCTTTTGGCGTTTTGTAAATTTATAAGGTACTTTTCCACACTATATCAAAACACAATAAAACAGTAAATTGTGATGTCCATGCTTAGACCATAGGCATAGCACACTAAAAATCAAAATGGAAAGAAAGTTGCCGTATCTTTTACTTTAAGCTCGTATATAAATTCAAAGCCGTATATAAATTAAAAGCAGGTATAAAATTCAAAGGCTCATACGGGACACATAAGAATCTTAAGTTAGAGTTATAAACCGAGAAGGAGGTTTATAACTGATATATTGCCCCCGAGGACGCGTAGCGTCCGAGGGCAATATATCAGTTATAAACCGACTTTCGAGGTTTATAACTAACTTATATCTCATTTGTGGAGGTTTTCTAACATATTTTGTC